CCCCCCCCCCCTCTACACTCTGTTGGTGACGACTAATCCCCCCGTGCTAGACATAGATATATGCCTTACCAATGTAGATTGTTCTTGGGCCATTATATTTTTGGTCACAAAAAATTTGGTCACATTGATCTTACTTCGTTTGAATTTTCCTTAGAGAATCATAGGGAGTGTATGAACGTATTTTTCCTTTTCGACAACACATGAATAGGCGAGAAAGAAAAGTTACCCGGATGTATATCATTTGAGCAGCGTTTGCAAGAGAATTTGACCAATTCTTTACTGCGAATCTTGAATACGATACCAAACCAAGTATACTGTAATTGTTAGTCTTTAAGTAAACATTTGTGGTACTTTCGCAATACTTTCGATTTTTTCCTCAAATAAGTAATTACAAGAGATTTCTCTCGCAAGAGATTACAAACAGTTTATAATCTCTTGGTAATTACGAACCTAAGCTAATTCAAGACCTTGCAAAAAGAAATTATTTCATGGCTTTATTAATGTTTTTCCAATACATTTGAATTTTTGATCTCACAAAACTATTGCTTATGTAATGCAGTTGGCCATTTGTCATTTTACATTCTTTTGTTACAGGAACGACAGAGAAACACCTATTCCTCTGATACAGCCCTTGTAAAAAATGACCAATTTTGGAACTGACGAGACTGGATTGGTTCTCTCAGTTAAATTCCATCATCCTGCGTTGAGCCGCTAACGCGATAAATTCCGCTTTCACCATATCAGGGAGTTTTCCCGCGGAATGGTTTCCTTATGGCGTTTGCGAGTCTTTTTAGCATCTCTTGACGTTTTCTCGTTTTTCGAGGAGTTGCCTCTGGCACGATACACATCACTGGTAGAAGTTTCTTCCTTATGTGTCTGCTGAACAAGTTTTTCACCTTTTTCCTCTTGTTTACATGGATCTCCAACTGAGTCGCTGACAATACCAGACAAAAACTCGTCATTTCCTGACACCACAAAACTGTTTCTTCTTTCTCTTAGAACATTATCTGGCAAACTCTCGAGCGCAAAGCTTGATGACCTTGTCACTTTCCTTTTTGAGAATTTGTAGAGTCGTTTAATGAAATTTTCTCCCTCTGTACCAGTTTCAACGATGTCGTCAAAACGATCAAAGTCTCCTGAAAAGAGGTCCTACAGAATTTAAGAATCAATGTCAGTACCTGAGCAAATGCATTGCAATGTCTTTCTGCAGTCAGTGCAAGTTATGCAATAGATGACTTTGGCGTAGGTGCTCATGAAGAGATAAGTAATCTCAATTGATGGTTTGGGTCCCGATATTTGCTGGTGAAACGGGAAGACGACCCGGTAACCGATTCTGAGAACACCTTCGCGACGTAGAAAGGAATGACAAAGATGAATCCAAAACCAATTGCCAGACACTTTAATCTCCCTAATCATTCTAAGCAGCACATGACAGTCTGCAGCCTTTCCTTACATCTATGTAGTTAGGAAAGACGCAAAAGTCATCGAACTCAGCGATCAATCAAAATGAAAAAATAAATACCTTGTTTTTTCTCCATGAAACGATTCTGGAGAAGAAAGATGTGTTTCGTTTCTCCGAGGAAACATCTTCATAGTTTGTCACCTGCGATGAGATTCAATTAATTAACACGAAAAGTAATTTTTTTTAAGTTAGTTTGGCCCTATTTCGGTACCAATTGTTCGGGGCATTTTTTAAAGGCTCCCGCTATTTTTTCCAAAACTTCTGAAAATGCTTTTTAGGTATATTGGCGCGGATTCCGCGTAAAGTAAGGAAAGGTAGCTCGTATACCTACAAAGAACCAATCAAATAAAATTAAAGAAATGATTTCATACAAGGGGCAATATTTTAGGGGCATTGTTCATGTGGTAATCGGAAAGTCATACAAAATACTATAATTTTTTTTATTGTAAAGATATGTTTGGGCGTTAGGTGAGATATAAAATACTGAATAGATAAATACATTTGAAAGATAAAATACATTTTAGCCTGCCAAGTTCTCCATTTAAGCCCGCAAACATGCCCAACAATGCCCGACAAAGGAATATTAATATATAATAACTCATCTTTATGGCTCATAGTCGTTTGGGAGGGGTATAGTCATTGAAATCAAAACACTACTGCGTGTCTTATTGCCTTTAACCTGAAGTAAACTTGTCATGAATTGCCAACTTTTCAACGACTTTCATTGCCATCCGGATCCTACAAATGCAACCTTTGAAATCTTGAAGCAGCCAGCCGCCTATGAGTGTCCTAACATCGAGGAAGGGCAAAAACAGTTAGTCACCCCTTAAACTTACCAAGTAATGTTGCGAACTGGTAAATTGTCGCTCAGGAGACGAATCATCCCGGCCACTTGCGTCCGAGAGGGAATAAGAAGAATAAACCTTTGATTGATGATGATTAGGTAATAACTCCGTTGATTGCGTCATTTGGTAAACACGTGACCAAGGTATTAAGCTGCTTCTTGTTGCGTGACTTTTAACATGCAAGTCTTCGGAAGAAGGGTCGAGTCCCCGAGATAGCCGACCGGCGTATCTCTGATCCGTAGGAGCAACCCCTTTGGGGGATTTGCTCCCGTCACTTTCCATTCTTAGATTGCTATGATGATTCATTGAAATGGCATCGACGCTATTCTTGTATAATAAATGTTGGTTTTGTATTGTATTTCCTCTTCCTAATAATTTGTGATCGGGAGAAAGTTGCCGTGATTGTTGATGAGTCGAAGCTTGTTCGGAACGACGGTCACGTTCGATCGCTTTTCTCTCAAAGCGAACTCGTTTGAGGCTGTGGTGTCCAGAAATTAAGCCATTCATACCTTGAATGCTGAAGGTCTCGGCCTAGAAAGAAGAGCAATCAAAATTATGAATCAAGTCAAACATAAGATTAGCTTGCGAATATGCCCTTATTATTAGCGCTGCAGGACGCGTGTTTCTCTTCCCACGGAAAGGTCGAGACGAGTCGGGGAGAGGTTTGCTGGGGTTCTGACAGTGAAAATAATTTTAATCAGTGCTAAGCCTCTTAGAGACCATTTGCCGGCTTGCTTTGTTTAAGGCCTCAAAATTTCCCATGGAAGCGTTTGTGCCGAAGCTCTAACAATGAGAACATGTTCACAAGCTAACATCACTGAGATTCAAGCGAGGGTTTGCTCTTACCTCATTTTATTAAATGGAATATTTTACTGGATTTTTTTTGGAACGGAAAAAAGTAACCCGAAGTGCGCTTGTCATATCATCTATCGTTAGTTTCACTATCTTATTACAAGATTCCAGACAGTCGCAGAAGTGGTGAGATAAAAGTTTTCTTTAAACGAGAATGGCTTTGTGCGTCCGTATTGAGAACAGTGGCGAAAAAAGCCACCCTGACTATGTTTCCAACATGTCTCGGGCAGGAAGATTGGAGGAAACGGTACAAAAGTCCCTTTGAATTTAGCCTGTTCCTAATCTCGAACCCAGATCCTACCGTGTAACTGAAATGAAATAGCAGAACCGCTTACAACTGCTTAGCCGTGGAAGGTCTGGGTACGGGATAGTAAACAACGCATTAGAAGCGGAGGAATGAAAAACCGAGGGAGGTTTGGGTCTGGTCGCGTTCTTTACCTGACCTGATCTAACCTGCTCTCCCTTTTTCACTCCTCCGCTACTATCACACTGATTGCTATTTCTCTCTGTTTTACTTAATGAATGACTGGAACAGGTTATTTTGAATCGCTTAGATATAATTGTGATAATTTGTCGCTCACGCTAGTTTCAGAATATAGATTAGCCGACGTCACCCATGGATTTCTTTAGTCTTTATTTCTTTAATACCTTATATAATAAGTTTGCACATGCTCCATTTCCACTTTCGATAGCCACGTCGAATGGGGTTCTACCCAGTCTGTCCCGAAGTTTGATTGCCACACCTCTGTGTAACACAAAGACATTGAAAGCGGTATGTTTATACAAATGTTCATGTGGATATTGGAGGCTGATTATAGGCATTATCAATGGCTATCATCGTTAATATATCTACTGATAGTCGAAAGATATTGGGGTTGATGGTCAGTCAGCAGTCGGTTGCCAATTGACTCACAATTTTATGACACTCGGTCGAGATGGCGAGGAATCAGCCGATTATTAGGATATTATCGTTCCATTATCGGTTGAGTGTTGGTCGACCATTGGCCGACCACAGGCCGACAATCGGCTGACTGTGGACCTACTACCAACCGGCTATCAATCACTAAACGGCTAACTCTCGATCGACATAGAGATAGATTATCGAAAGAAACATCCGACTTCGGTCAGGTTGGATGGGAAAATATTTGCCGACCATGAAGTCCTATTAATGAGGCGACCATGTAACAGGAAAGTCGAATTAAGACTGCCCACTTTACAACGAAAATGATAAAATAAAAATGATGAACAACGAAAAAATACTCACGCTCGAACAAGGAGTTTTACAACCTCTAGATGACCATTTTGTGCAGCTACATGTAAGGGACTGGAGCCAAGTTTATTTCTCTCATTACCTACACTGCTAATGTTACCCAGGAGCCACTCGACGCAGGAACGGCGGCCACAGGCTGCCGCTGAATAGAGAAAGAAAATAGAAGATGCTTCGTCGGTAAAAACATTTAAAAAGGTAGAGGTCCTTTCGGCCATTTCTTAGAAAAAGTCCTTGTTTGAAATGTATAGACGCTAGGCCAGAGGACTGGGTTTAACACACAAGGTCGTGCTTGGTGATAAACATCCCTGGAAAAATGCTATCGGAAACGTAGACACCGACATAACAGGCACATTAGAAAAAAAAAATGTCAAGTGAAGTCGTCCGCGTATGTAACTTTTATTACTGTGTAGGAGAAAGGAACTCTTACATAAACTGTTATCATAGAATTGGTGACTTATCTATAATTTTATTATAGAGTATCAGAATGATACCATAATGCAAAGGTGTGTTCGCAGTCCTGTCCCGAGCCAGCGCACTACAACCAGTAGAGCTTAGCAGAAACACCAGGCAGCCCAAATGACCCTCAAGAGCTGCTGCATGGACAGCGGTCATACCATCCACAGACATCTCTCGGTGAAATGTTCCCGAGTGCTTTGCGAGCCACGCCAAGCAGTTCAAATGACCTTCTTGGGCTGAGAGATAATAAATGAGAGTATAACTGAATGAAAGAAAAAATGAATGAATAAATGAGTGAGTGAGTGAATGAATAAATGAATGAGTCTCTATAAGAATTAATGAATTAATGAAAGAATTAATAAAGGAACAAATGGCTCGATATAAAGATACTTAGGTAGATAGAAGATTAACAGATTGATAGAGGTAAGTTAATTAATTGATAGATGAATAGAGTGATGGAGAGTTAGGTAAATGATCATGAAAACAATCATATGTTAAGCCCTATTCTTTTTTGATCCGTTTTCTCCAACCCCCCCCCCCCCCACCCTTTCTGATATGCCTCCCTCTCCTCTGCCCCCTTCCCCCTTGTCTTATGAAAACTGTAAAATGGCCGTATTAGCGTTAATCGTTTGAACTATGCTAGCTTTCCTCTTACCTGCAAAATAAAGTGGTGTAACTCCACTGTTGTCCTGTTGTGATAAATAGCACATGTAATCATTGTCACTGTCGAGCGCATTTGTAGCCTCAAAACTGTACGTTGCCTCATCTACTCGAAATCATTGATCATTAAAAAATTAAGAAGGAAAGAATTTTATTGAAAACTGTTAACATTTCAGTTGAATTTTACGAACCGTTAAAGAGATGCTTTTCGAAGCCTTTCGGTGAATCCACTTGAGACATTCAAGATGGCCACCGGCGGCCGCGTAATGAGCTGGTACCGAGCCTTCTGCAGACCTTTATCATGTAGAGAAAGCAGAACGGGTTCACGTTATCCAAAAATCGTTCAATACTAGTTGAATGAGGGACAGTCTGTTGCGGGCATTGAAGATAGAAACCGGTCTATCTAGCTTTACCAGCGATGTGTACATTCTCATCAAACTTATATAAAAATGGTTATGATCAGGAGCCCTATTAAGTTGAAAAAATAACATGCTAATTCAAAACCGAAAAAAAATTTTCCCCTCTGAAGCTACTACTTTAAAATGAAGAAAGCAGGTATCGGCAATTCTATCATAATAATGTATATACTCCCATCTGAGGCCTATTTTCTTAGCATTTCTTTAATTTATACCTACACAGAAATCTGCCTCGTAACAATAATAAGAAGTCTGAATTGATATCGTTGACATTTGCCAAGATTAGGTTGAGGCTCAAACGCTGAGTTGCCCAAACTAAAAGTTTCGTGCAATTAGGCACTTAGTAAAACTTTTATTCGTCTAAAATGAAGAAGGGTGACCAGAATCCAAAACCACGGAGAAGTTCTATAGTTTAAAAACTATTTCTAAATTGCTGGCTTACAATCTTATGAAGACAGATTAAACGGATAAAAATCAGAACAGTATTTTGGTAAATAAAAAAGAGTAATTAAATCAATAGTGCCTTTCGTACAAGACCAATATTCTGTCTACCTGAAAACAGGTACTTTATGAAGCAAAATAAACGGATTGATTATCTAAGAAATATTTTACCTGGCAGTCAGGCTGCTTCCACGTTTAATGAGCCATTTTGTACACACCAGATAACCACGATAAGCGGCATGGTGTATGTGACATAGTCCTTGCTGGTCCAGAGCATTTGGAACGAATCTCCCAGCTGTGTACAACGCTTTTAAGCGCTGTAAATGCTTTACCTCGCGTGTATCCGCCATCGAGAGTATTTTAATACGCTTTACCGAGGCAAAAACGTCGATGAAGTTCTGAAAACAACGGTGAGCGTAATGAGTAGTCGTTTTATACTTCACTATCTGGAACCTGGCCTTTGTTGGATCATGTAGATATCTATCTATATTTTTTTTCAGAACAAATGAAGCGCTATTTGGTATTCAATTTTTTTCGGATGAAAGCTTTCTACGTATTTGAGAAGTAACACCGTGTGATGTGACAAAAATGTCTTCAGATTTGCTATCCAAAAGTTGCATCTCTTGTGAAACTTCATTCAGGAGCTGAGCATAATTTTACGAAATTTTTTCAAAGATTTTTTCTCTGGCGGCATCGATAAAACAGAATAACAATGATGTTAAATAATTAAAGACAGTAAAAGAAGAAGACAATAAAAGTTTTTACAAAACTAAAACCATGATACAGGATCTTTAGATATTCTTTTGTGTTCGTTTGTCCTTAAATAAATATTTATACAGTCTGCGTCCATTCATAAAAGATCTACAGGCTATTAGCCATAAGAGAGTAGTGCAGATGCTGATATTCTCTCTATTTCTCATTCTAAAAGCCTTATTTTTTATCTAGCAATTTTGAGTCTAGCTAAATCTCGCGATGCTAGTTGCACTAATGACGTCAGCAATGCAGAGTGACGCAAGTAAACACAGTTGGAAATCTGGAAAGTGTGGGAAGCATGGAAACTCTCCCTGAACAAACCATTTTTAATACTATTTTTTTTACTTATTATTATTTTTGTTAACCTGTGAATGCAAGCTTTGCAAATTCAAGATTTAATTACTTGAATTACTGGGGGGAGGGGAGGGGGAGGGGAAGGAAGGAGAGAATGCAATTTTTGATTTTTTGATTTTTCTTTAGCAGTGAATCAGAATGAGGGTAAGACATTATACTTCTTACCTCAAGTGGCAGTAGTGTTGAAATCTCATTTTTGTCTTTTTTGAAACGACCTCTTACCCAGCATAATTGACATTATTGCACCATAAGAACAATTTTGGATTTAGAATTAAAATGGACACTGCAGTTTTCTATTCCATCAACTAATTTCTTTATCAATATATTTCCAAATCTTTGTCACATATAATAGTTAAACATACTACAAGTTGATAATATAAATTTGTTCTGTTGTCTCACAACAGTCACTAGATGTAGTGAGACATCAGAACAAATTTATCCAGCTACCACAATGAACAACCTATTTCATTACATACGACAAGTTACTACTAACAGCACGCTTATTGCATCCTTCATCACTCAAGAATTGTAAATATGCACTGAGACGCAAAAGTGATTTCACTCTCCCCCTATGTAAAACCAAGCGTTTGAAGAACAGTTTTATTTTTAGCCATGTCTATACGATGTAGAAAATTTTTCTTATTATCTCTTTTGTTATCATCAGTATTTGTAAATATCCCGTAATTCAGCCTATGGCTGCAATGGTGGTTAATAAAGTATCTCTCTCTCTCTATCTCTCTCTCTCTCACTCACTGACAATTAGTGACTGGTAGAAATAATACTGTTACCTTTAAAATTTGCCAAGTTAATTGAAGCACAATTTAAGTTTGAATACTTAACTGATCATCAACCCTTTAACTCCCTTGATCTCATTGGTAATTCTCCTTACTGTCTGCCAAATGATTCTCATCATGTTAGCTGGAGAATTTGGTATCAGATCAATTAGCAATCCCATAATTAATATTTTTCTTTATTCTCATCACTCGTCTGCTTGATATTGTATCAATATGGTAAGGAGAAAATCTGTCTTGGTCATTCATGGGAGTTAAAGGGTTGGTTCAAGTATTGCACTGCAACTTAAAATGGACTTGGAAGATTAAAAACTAAAACACTCAGATTGTCTGTAAAAATTATAAAATAATACAATCTATTCTTTGTTAAAAAAAAAAAAAAAAAATTCCCTACATAATTAACTTGTTGAACAGTAACATATTTTATTAATTCAAGCCCTGGGAGAACCTGAAATATTTGGAACTTCTTGTTGTGTAATTTAATAGTGTTCTATGCTATTTTAAATTGTAGAGTGGGCTAGCTTTAAATTGTTGATTTCTGCATTTCAACTTACAATGCTCTCTCCATGAGAATACCCTTAGATCATGGGAACTTTGGGTTACATGTACAAACAGAAGTGCAATAGCTCTAAGCTGTGTTTTTTAAGGCATAAAATTGCTTCTTGGTTTACAAAAAAAGCATGTCTCACTACTTATTTTAAATTGTCACCCGATACTACAGGTTCAGCTGAACAATACTGTAGCTGATTTGAGGGACATGTCTGGCTGCCATGTGGGCTTGGTAAAACATATAGAAACTTATCCAATACCTGATTTTATGCATGGTATTTTTTCACAAGTCTGAATTTTTTTCACATTCATTAGCTTAACCCTTTCATTACCAGGAGTGACCAGAAGGGAATTTATCCTTACAATATTCATTTACTTCAAGCAGAAATATGATGACAAGACAGAAAAAATTATCAACTAAAGGATATTTCTTGGATTTAAACACTTAATACTAAGAGCTTAAATTGTAGGAAATGTCTGGCAGATGGTGCAAAAAAATTACCCACTGTATAGAGCTTGTAAGTGCAAGGGTTTATCTATGTGAACCTACAGTAAATGTATAACCACCTTACGGCAGCGATAACTGCTTGTATTTATACAACATCTTTTAGAGTCTTGAAAACAAGTTCAGCATATTCAGTGGCCACATCCTGAGTGACAACATTACTGTAATATATAATACTCCAAAACAATTGACCATCAATGGTCACTAAGTTGTTGCTAAACACAGGGCCAAAATTATGCCCTGCACCAGCAAAATACACTCCATTACACTCATAAGCCTTCGTTTCACCTTCTTTTCCAAAGGTTTGTTTTCCAAGATTAGAAACATGGCATAGCCTATTCAAACGACCTGCTGTTTTCTTGTTTTTAGAGACTTTGTACATTTTTTTGGCAAAGTCAATGTCCAATAAATGAAGTTCCTTCAAACATGCATGGTGTTTTCCGCTTGCAACTGCTTGCCGTACCTGTTGAGTACATTTCTGTGCAAATTTCCAAAAATGCTCATGTATGTCTTGCAGAACTGGCACAGGGATTTTAAGCCCACAGTCTAATGTAAAACAACCCAGATCTTTGCTTGATATTGGAGGCTGGCATTCCTGTCTCACATTCACACTAAAACTCAAAGGAATAGACATTGGTATTCGCAGGTCACCATTCTGTAACATGGTTGCTATGGCAACACTTGCTGCAGCTGTAAGCATTCCATGTACAGTACATTTGTTCTCTTTACATTTCTCTACCAGCTCAGAAATGGAACATTTGGGTAAATTTCTTGGCAGAATACAAGTTTTCCTTAAAATGGTTGGATCACATAAGCTAGTTGGTGGAATCACTGCAGTGAACTGATTCCTTGGCTTTCCAACTATCTTATACAACAGTCGAGTGAAGATGGGCTTAAGAGAAAGCAGAACTTTATCCAGTTGAGTTAAGGTAATGTGATGCTTTAAAAGATCAGAAATAGGTGGGTATAGAGGAACACTTGTTGTTTTGATGTCATTGTCAACCTTGCCACTCTCCATGTTCAAGAAATCTAAGAAATCTCCACAAAGATTCAACAAAGCAGTATCGTCTGCGATGAGCTGATGAACTGAAAACAGCAAGGTGTTCAAGAAACACCTCTCTTTTGCATCATATTCCTCTTTGAACGATCGTGCTCTCCACAAAGGACCGTCAGAGATCTGGAATGGAGTCGAGAGTTCCTTTTCAAAAGACGATTCCCAATTACGAGCCTGTTTACTTTTGATGTAGAAATCTATAGCATACGGTTCATCCATCTCAATAAAACATTTCACTGCCTTCGTTCTCCCGTGCACAGCAACTTCTCTGACTCGCATACGAAGAATGGTGTGTTTCCTTGGCAAACGTTCCAATGTTTGCCGAACCATGGTCTGTTGAAGAGAGACTTTGGACTTCAGCAAAAGAACAACAGATTGCAAACCTCCACCATAGCTATGAAGGTCATCAATCATGCTTTCAAACAATCCAAGACGCCTTCCAATTTGATAATCGGAGTCAATGGCGTTTTGTTGGTTCTTCCTTTGCCGTATTCGATCGGAACAAAATCCAATGAAGGTCAATATAGCAACTGCGTAAACACCAGTTAGTCCGATCTCGGGCAAGTAGTTGCTCAACAGCTCCAAAGTTGCCCAAAACATGCCTGGATTCTCTTGATTTCCTCTAAATTGATTAAAAAGCAGCTTAAACTAGGATCTTAGAATCAACTGCATCTTGCGAACTTTTTTCTCCTCTCAAAACTTCGTAATCCTTACCTTCAACACGTGTTTGACGCAGTTCCGGTTGTTGACAGGATTTTGGAGGAGGGGCTTGAGATACCGGAAGTGATTTGCAAAAAGGGCCTCGAGAGTCAAAAGCCAAATTAATGTTTAGACATGGAACATTCCACATACACAAACATTCATACAAAATCTGAAACAATAATATTCTCTCTCTTTGTATTGTTTAAAAATTGTTTTTTTTCCTTCTTTTTTTCATGAATACCACAATTTTCAGAAACGTAATGACGCTTATGACGATGCTTGGATCGTTTACAAATATATTCTCTGACATATTGAGACTTCACAGCAATATGGAAAAACAACGTGGCAATTCTGTGTGCTCTTTAGTTTGGTTGTGTAGATGCAACATTTAGCTTTCCCAATTAACATCATACATTTACAAAAATTAATATGTGACAGCAGATTGAACTGTTTCTCTAGAGGTGACAACACCCCCAATAAAGTGTAACATGTTATCATACAACAATAAATGGGAAAAAAAATCTGATGAAACATCAGAGACTAAATCTTATTTGTTCACAAAAAAGTACTTTCAACAACTTTTATTTTGATGAGTTCAAGAAAAATGACAAGATACCGCTGCTTTTAATTTCTTAGGTCATGAGGGGAACAAAAGTAGAGCTCATAATGGCTGACAAAACATGCACAAATTATTAGCGGTCACCAGAAGGTCACTAATACTACATGTATTTACCGAAAAAAGGTACAATACCAAATTTACAGTGTTACTAACACTTAACATATCTTGTAACTGGATAAATATCATAGCGAGCAGCTACATTGTCCAGCATACAATAAGTACTTTATTAAAATAAAACAGCAGTAGCAGTTAGTGTGACTCTATATGCATTATGCCATAAATACATGAACATTTGGAACTTGCAATCCTACATGTATTAGCCAGTGCAGGGTTAAAAAACAGAACACATGATAAGAAGCAAGATGCTTGGTATATAACTTATTGCTATATGGTATGAACAACTGTAGCAAGCACACTTTGTTGGTGATAAAATCTGGAAAAATTGGAGCTGTCAAAGTTCATAAATATGAATCAACTCTGTGGTTTGTTCAAGGCATAGTACATCTCCAATGGCTTGTTGACTTTCCAGTACTGGGAAAATAAAGTAAAACAAAACATGAAAATTGAAATACACTGTTAATTGTAGCATTAATTTTGATAAAAAAGGCTCCTTTTAATCCTTTACAACTTAACATCAGGATGCACAATCTCCTTACTGTTCTCCATACAATTCCTAAGGTGTTGGTGTTGATGAGGAGAATTTGTTTCACCAACATGAGTTTCATTGGTTAGTGATCATTTCCTTTATTTTCATGCCCTAAATGTTTGACTAAGGGTTGATATTTTAGGGAGAAATTAAAAGCCAACCACTCATAGGGGTTTAAGGGTTATGTGATGTGTCCCTCACATGAAATCCTGTGAATATCTTGGGCCAGTTGTTAGAAATGCAAACGACACTGATCTAGGATTACTATATATACTTTATATTTGTTTGAATTTCTTTTGTAGAAAAGTGTTCATGTATGTACCTGCACATAAAAGCAAATGCTTTTTACTGTGTCAGCTTGGTGTATGGCAAAAGTGAGGTGTACTTAATTTTTAAGTGATTGAATGATTACCTTCTCATTCACAAAATCCAATATCATTGATCCAGGAAGAGGCTGAAAGTCAATTGAAAACAACTGTGAGCTACATGCATCTTTTACTCAGACCAGCAAAATATACTCCATCATTTTTCACTATTCTACATGTATTGCTAAAACAAAAAATTTCTTGGTGCAAAACTTTAGGGTGTTGTGACTCCCTCCTGGATTGGACACAAGATGTATTCCTTTGCAAGTAACTCACTTGCAACTATCATCCAAACTGTGGCAATTAGTTTTCTTCAATATCGGCTAATAAATCACAGCATTCTGCTGCTGGCCAGATGGTAATGTCTGTTCACTTACTGTGTATTGCCCTGGCATGCTAGCAATGTATATTGTGAACTGTGTGGCTTCACTGCTCTCCTCAGTAGGGTTAGCACCTGTATTAAAGATCTTTTGTTTAATATCATGACAACCACAGGCTCTTCTTCTCTGCTTTGAAACTCACAACTGGAAACTATAACTCTCACAGACTCCAACCATTAAAATTTTTTTAATTATTGCATCTGTTTTGGCTGGATCTTAAAATTATTGAAATGGCTGGTACTAATTTTTTTCCCAGGACTCCTGAGTGGTTTTTGAGGGGGATGTTTCCAAGTACCTCCCCCCCCCCCCCCCCCC